AACTAGATGATCTTAAAGGTCCCTTCCAACCTAGAAGATTCTATGATTCTAGGATTTCTAGCAGAACCAAGCACAGCAGCATCAGGCACTGCCCCACCTGAAGCAGGTGGGACCACCCCAATCGGAGCATCTCCCATCAGCCATGGTCCCAGTGCATGGATCCAGTGCTCTGACACCAGGGCCGGAGGGAGAACTGCAGCCAGCACTTCTGCCATTCTCTACAAATATTAAAATAAATATAAAAATATGTGAAATTAATGGGAGGGCAGTGGGTCCCCCCCACACCATCATCCCCCTCCAACCGGGTACCACTGCTCCAGGGCATGCAAAAAAAAGAGTGAAATACCAGGCATCAACTGCAAACTCCTTGGAAACAGCTCCCAAAAGAAAAGCACCGAGTACCTGGATGCCTTTACCATGCCCCTGAACCAGACCCTGCATTTACCAAACCCCCTCCCCAAGCCTCCTCCTCACCCCAGGGGACAAACACTGCAAAATAAAACTTGCACATCACACTTAATAAAAGACCAGAGAGTGTTTTACCAGCCAAGCAGGAAGCATTTTGTCCCTTGCATGGGGAAACTCTCTCCCTTTTTTTGTGCTGCTGCAAGAAGTCAGACATTAAATACAAGTTTCTGGAAAACGTGGGGAAGAAGAAAGTAGAAGAACCTTGTAGAGAAGCCATGGAAGGTGAAGCTCTGCCTTTTGTCTGCAGGATGGAGTGGCTGCAGCTTAACGTGCTGGTGTGTACCAGCTAAAGCTGTACTAAGCCATTAAATCACAGCAAATCTCACACACTGAAGACCCAAGTGACGAACAAGGGGGTCCCTGTGAAGGTGATGCTCTACAGGGAGCAGCTTCCACCAACGCCTGGGCTGGCAGACTGCTAAAAACTCTCAGCTAATTCATTAAAGCACTGATGCTCATTCCTGACTTGGAACACCTGTAGGTAACCAAAGAGCAGAAAACAGCAAAAGCACACACCGAAACAGCTACAACAGCTGGTACTACCTCTAGGCTTCTCAGTTAAAGCAAGTTTTCAACCCAAATTATCTCCTGGCACCCAGAATTAAAATGGCTTTATTTTACTTTTATTTTATTCTTCAAAGTCAGACTATAGTAAAAAAGTTACTGTTGGACAACCCCCCCACAGAGCCCCCACTCACAATGACGAGTGGGGAACACCAGGCTGCTTGAGGGGGTCAACACCAGCTCAAGGCAACTTGAGCCTGGGGCTTTTCTAGGGAGCCAGTGAAAGAAAATAAAAAAATAAACCTTTTTTTTTTTTTGGTAGGTTTTGTCAGACATTAACATTTTCATTTCAAAAGTCAAATGAAGAGCACTGGAGTCACGACACAGGTTTAATACCAAAAAGCAACTTTGCAGTTCCTTCGTTATCTTGCCTCAAGCCCTTATCTGATTTTCCAAGAGATTAAGAAATCTTGACATAGCATTTATGGCCAGAGTTAAATTCCCGACAAGACAACATACTCCTTCAGTCACCAGTTTACAGAAGGTCATAAAGCCGCCATATAGAGTGGTTCCAGCCACTTTACCTTAAAATGGATGACTAGTGCATAACATTAATGAAAACATACCTTTTTGTGTTACAAAACAAGTCCCGTATTCCTGGTTTTAAACTGTGCTGTTTGCACTCTTTCCATTCCTAGCTGCCTTGATTTATTTTTTGGGTTCCCTCCTCCAGTTTACAGAAGGTCATAAAGCCGCCATATAGAGTGGTTCCAGCCACTTTACCTTAAAATGGATGACTGGTGCATAACATTAATGAAAACATACGTTTTTGTGCTACAAAACAAGTCCTGTATTCCTGGTTTTAAACTGTGCTGTTTGCACTCTTTCCATTCCTAGCTGCCTTGATTTATTTTTTGGGTTCGCTCCTCTCTACACCGTTATCCGCAGGGGTATTTAGCAAATTATTCCATTTTAATACAGCAATGAGATTTGTCCTGCAGCAGCTCGGGCTGTGATGCTTCCACCTCTCCTTTATTCACATCTGGCAACACCCACCATCAGCTCCTTGGTATTTCTCTTCATATTTGTTTCCTCTCGTCCCTCGGTCGCCACAGCCCAGCCCAGAACATCAGCGCCGTGTCCCCCATCCTGCCCCTTACGCCCAAATTCACACCCCCTTCGAGCCCCCCACCAGACCTCCCCCCAGGACACCGTCCCCCACCTCCCGACCAACAACAACTTGGAAAACCATGAGCCGGAGAGAACAGATGGGTGTATTTTGTGGGTAGATCTGGTTATACAATAACTAATCAAGGTAACGACACGCTGGCAGAGCACCGACGGCACGGACCTGCCCATTTCCTTCCCACTGCCCGGAGCATCCAAAGCCCCTCCAGGAGGAAGGACCCCGTTGGCAGGTCCCAAGGGGGGGGTCTCTGGCCCTCCACAGCACTGGCATCCCCACAGGCAACACCAGCTCCCGTTCCTCCAAACAGCTTCCTACTGCCACGTTCCCCCCAGGACACCGTCCCCCACCTCCCGACCAACAACAACTTGGAAAACCATGAGCCGGAGAGAACAGATGGGTGTATTTTGTGGGTAGATCTGGTTATACAATAACTAATCAAGGTAACGACACGCTGGCAGAGCACCGACGGCACGGACCTGCCCATTTCCTTCCCACTGCCCGGAGCATCCAAAGCCCCTTGCAGGAGGAAGGAGCCCCATCAGCAGCTCCAGAGGGGGGGTCTCTGGCTGCATCACCCACCGCAGCACCGGCATCCCCACAGGCAACGCCAGCTCCCGCTCCTTGAAACAGCTTCCTACTGCCACGTCCAAAGTCCCAAGTCCCAGCGTGAGCTCAATAATCTGAAGCCTGAATACCTTCTTCCTCTTTCTTTTTTTTTTTTTTTAAGGGAAAAAAAAGGCCACAAGGTGAAGCTCCTGGAGGGAAGCTTAGTTATGGGGAACAACCCTGCTCTGAAGATACAGCAGGAGTTGGTAAGAAGCTTCATCTGCCCCGACACAAGCATCCCTGGCAGCCAGTGCGAGGTGATGGATCTGTTCCTGGAGTGACCCTGGACCACCTCATGCTCCACCACCTTCCCTTCTGGGATTTTCTTCCTCTTTAAGGAAGCGCGCTTGGCAGTAAATAAAACCAGAATAGCAACGGAGCAAAACACAGTCCAGACACCCACCAAAACAACTGTCAGCTCCGTCCTTCCAGAGGACGGGAGAAAGAAGTCAGTGGGGACAAACATCTGCCCTGTTTAAGGCAAGTTGTTCCAACGTGTCAGCAGCGAGGGACTTGGCAGATGCCAAAGGGGCAGCACTGCTCAGGGAACGTGTGTACGGCACCACCCAGAGAAATCACCTATAGGAAACGTGACTGCACTTTGTGCTGATTCAAAGGAAAAGGGCAAAGCCTTTAGAAGAGTACTCTTTCTTAAATCCATATGTATTTTTGCTGGAAAAGCTTCGGAAAGGAAGGCTTTCGGGGTTCAGAAAGGAAACTCCTCTGTAGCATCAAAGGAAAAGTGTAAGTTTCATTGATTTTCTTTGCCAAAGAAAATCAAAATATTTCAAAAGAAAGAGTAATACTGGAAATGGCTTCTCTTTCTAGTTTTGGGGGGAATGGGAAGCAGCAGCATCCTATACAACATCCTTTACCAGAGGCTGTGAGGCTGCAACAGCCTCATGAAGCCAGGGAATGAAAAGGCATTAAACACTGTCCACTACACATGGGAAAGCCTTCGGAGAGCTCAGCTCTCCCCAAAAACCACAGTGTCAAAGCGTCAGGAAGTCCAAAATTAGAAGCAAGCCCCAAAGGACAGTTAAATAAGTCCCATCGGTGTATTTCCTCCTCAGCAAGTGGTGTCTTTCTGGTTCCCCATGAAGAATGGACAAAGTTTTGTTTCCTCTGAGCTTTTCTTTATCTCACCCCATTTCTCAGCAACACCATGGCAGGTCCCGGTCCGATTGTTGGTCCGGGAGAGGTTCTCACACACCAGCAATGGGAAACCTTGTTTTCCATGAGTTTTTGGACAATTTGTTCTTGGTGTCATCAATTATGCACAGCGAGTATTTATCACCTTTGCTAAGGAAATACAAAGACTGGATGCTCGTCTGGATCTCCCTCAGCTCAGCAGGCACCAGACCACCACAACGACAGTATCTAAGCTGGCTATAACTTTTATCCTCTGTCAGAGGAAACTTCTTAAAAAGTAACTAAGCTTTAGCTTAGGGAAAGCCTGCAACTGTATCCGACTGCAAAAGGAGGATCCTGCAGAAACTATATCTTTTAAGCATCTTTATTTTAAGCCAACACGGTGAGTTTTTTTGGCTCAGCTCTGGAGATGCTCATCTTAAGGGTGAACAACACGTGAAGGACTGAAACTCTCTTTTGACATTGACCCTTAAAAGCATCCCATCTCCCGACCGCCAGCGTGGGGACAGAAACACGGCACATCCCCCCCCCAAGTGGGGTTCAACCTGCCCCAAAACATTTCACAGCCCAAACCCGCTCCCCGAAACCTCAGCACAGCGCAGGGGCGAGCAGCCAGGTGCTATTTTCATCCTCGATAAGAGCTAAACTCCAAAAAATACCCCCAAAACCGGGTTTGCTCCCCCAGCATCCTCCAGCCCAGCGTCCCTGCCCCTCGGGGGTGGGGACCCCCCCCGCTCCGTGCATCCCCACGCACCGCTGTGTCCCCCACGCTCTTCCCTCCGCCGGGGCTCCGGGACCCGAGGGGTTGACCCCGGCCCGTGGGGACCCACCTGGGAGCGGGGACGTGACCGCCCGCCCCCGGGGGGACGCTCCGGCATCACCGCCCCCTTCCGCCCCCCGCGGCCCGGCCGCATCCCGGCCTCAGGCAGCCCACAGGCCCGGCGCTACCGGTAGGAAGCCCAGTGGGAAGGGGGGCGGCCGGGGCCCACCCGTGGGTCGCTCCCGCCGTGGGGGCTGCCCGCCCCGCTTCTCTCCCACCGCCGCCGCCGCCGCCGCCCTTCCCCGCCCCGACCCCCGGTACCTCGATTTTGTCGACGCTGCGGGCGCAGCCCACCACCTTCATGCCGTGTTGTACCAGCGCCCGAGCCACGGCCGCCCCGATGCCCACTGAGGCGCCGGTCACCAGCGCGACCCGCCCGGTCCAACGCTCCATGGCCCCGGCCCCGGCCCCGCCGTCGCGCACAATGCGCCGCCCGCCCGCCACGCCGGCCACGCCCACCACCCCAAGCCACGCCCACCTCCCCTCAGGTCACGCCCACCTCCTCGATGATCACGCCCCCCGCCCCTCAGGCCCCGCCCCTCCCACCTCCCATGCACCGAGTTGGCGCGGGCTCAGCCCTCGCCGTGGGAAGGCCGCCTTTTGGGGCTTTTCCTCCCCAAAACGGCCCCCGAGGAGAAGGGAGAGGCGTGAAAGGAGGGAGGGGAAACTACCGCGGAACGGCTTTTGGGCTCGAAAGGTAAAAATAACGGTAAGGAAGAGGGAGGGGCTGCTCTAAGTCTTGCTTAGAGTGGCAAAATCTAAGCATTGTCACAAAAATTTATAAAAAAAAATAAATTATTCATCATCTTCATAGTTTTCCCCTGTGTTTTGTAATCAAGTGGAAGATATTGTCTATATCTCTTAACTAATATCCAAAGGAACTAGTTATCAGTATTCCCAGTTAACTTGGAAAAAGGTTATAAACCTAAAGCTCCCTCAGAAACATAATTTTCACATCTGATTTTGTAAAACGGCTGTAAAATAACCAAGTGGGTGTGTGGTTGACAAAGCATGATCCCCTTTAAATATAAAAGCTATTTTTTATTATTGATTCTGTGATTATTTACGAAAACATATATACCTTGATTTCGATTTGCATACATGATTTTTAATTCCTACATTTTTTGAGTCGCATTTGTAGGAGGAACAGCCTCCAGCTCTGGCTACACACCGGCAGGTGGATGGAGGTGTAGGAGCCACGGGATCCAGCTCATGTTGGCTGAACTGGGATGCTCCCCTGGGCAGAACTGGGATGCTCCCCTGGGCAGAACTGGGCCATCACCTCTACTCCTGTTGACCCAGCACCAAGTTTTAAACTGCTTTTTTCCCCCCCTCTGTCTCCCTCCCCCTGTACCTCCACTGCTCACAAACAAGCTGTGCCATGGGACACCGCAAGAACAAGGTACGGCCAAAAGGACCTTTATGCAAAAATCACTCCAGCTCATTATTCCATTAAGAAAACATCAAGGCGTGTGGAAAACCTGCTTTTTGTTTAATTACATTCCAGCAGGCTCACGCTGAAGCTTCAAGTCCTTCTGAAGAGCAGGAATTCAGGCCGCGGGGAAGGAGCCTTGAAAGCAGAAACACGTACAGCCCACTTTTACTATGCATATTAATAAATATTCTTTATTTAAATTTTGCACATTGCGCTTTTACATATTACATCCAAAACATTTTGCAAATGGATGTCTAATTTGTAAAATCTTATACCCCGGCCCGTGGGGGACCCACCTGGGAGCGGGGACGTGACCGCCCGCCCCCGGGGGGACGCTCCGGCATCACCGCCCCCTTCCGCCCCCCGCGGCCCGGCCGCATCCCGGCCTCAGGCAGCCCACAGGCCCGGCGCTACCGGTAGGAAGCCCAGTGGGAAGGGGGGCGGCCGGGGCCCACCCGTGGGTCGCTCCCGCCGTGGGGGCTGCCCGCTCCGCTTCTCTCCCACCACCGCCGCCGCCCTTCCCCGCCCCGACCCCCGGTACCTCGATTTTGTCGACGCTGCGGGCGCAGCCCACCACCTTCATGCCGTGTTGTACCAGCGCCCGAGCCACGGCCGCCCCGATGCCCACCGAGGCGCCGGTCACCAGCGCGACCCGCCCGGTCCAACGCTCCATGGCCCCGGCCCCGGCCCCGCCGTCGCGCACAATGCGCCGCCCGCCCGCCACGCCGGCCACGCCCACCACCCCAAGCCACGCCCACCTCCCCTCAGGTCACGCCCACCTCCTCGATGATCACGCCCCCCGCCCCTCAGGCCCCGCCCCTCCCACCTCCCATGCACCGAGTTGGCGCGGGCTCAGCCCTCGCCGTGGGAAGGCCGCCTTTTGGGGCTTTTCCTCCCCAAAACGGCCCCCGAGGAGAAGGGAGAGGCGTGAAAGGAGGGAGGGGAAACTACCGCGGAACGGCTTTTGGGCTCGAAAGGTAAAAATAACGGTAAGGAAGAGGGAGGGGCTGCTCTAAGTCTTGCTTAGAGTGGCAAAATCTAAGCATTGTCACAAAAATTTATAAAAAAAAATAAATTATTCATCATCTTCATAGTTTTCCCCTGTGTTTTGTAATCAAGTGGAAGATATTGTCTATATCTCTTAACTAATATCCAAAGGAACTAGTAATCAGTATTCCCAGTTAACTTGGAAAAAGGTTATAAACCTAAAGCTCCCTCAGAAACATAATTTTCACATCTGATTTTGTAAAACGGCTGTAAAATAACCAAGTGGGTGTGTGGTTGACAAAGCATGATCCCCTTTAAATATAAAAGCTATTTTTTATTATTGATTCTGTGATTATTTACGAAAACATATATACCTTGATTTCGATTTGCATACATGATTTTTAATTCCTACATTTTTTGAGTCGCATTTGTAGGAGGAACAGCCTCCAGCTCTGGCTACACACCGGCAGGTGGATGGAGGTGTAGGAGCCACGGGATCCAGCTCATGTTGGCTGGAGGAACAGCCTCCAGCTCTGGCTACACACTGGTGGGTGGATGGAGGTGTAGAAGACATGGAATTCAGCTCACATTGGCTGAACTGGGATGCTCCCCAGGCAGAACTGGGGCACCAGCACCAGGTTTTAAACTGCTTTTTCCCCCCTCTCTCCGAACTGGGATGCTCCCCTGGGCAGAACTGGGCCATCACCTCTACTCCTGTTGACCCAGCACCAAGTTTTAAACTGCTTTTTTCCCCCCCTCTGTCTAGTATTCCCAGTTAACTTGGAAAAAGGTTATAAACCTAAAGCTCCCTCAGAAACATAATTTTCACATCTGATTTTGTAAAACGGCTGTAAAATAACCAAGTGGGTGTGTGGTTGACAAAGCATGATCCCCTTTAAATATAAAAGCTATTTTTTATTATTGATTCTGTGATTATTTACGAAAACATATATACCTTGATTTCGATTTGCATACATGATTTTTAATTCCTACATTTTTTGAGTCGCATTTGTAGGAGGAACAGCCTCCAGCTCTGGCTACACACTGGTGGGTGGATGGAGGTGTAGAAGACATGGAATTCAGCTCACATTGGCTGAACTGGGATGCTCCCCAGGCAGAACTGGGGCACCAGCACCAGGTTTTAAACTGCTTTTTCCCCCCTCTCTCCCCCTCCCCCTGTACCTCCACTGCTCACAAACAAGCCCTGCCATGGGATACCGCAAGAACAAGGTACGGCCGAAAGGACCTTTATGCAAAAATCACTCCAGCTCATTATTCCATTAAGAAAACATCAAGGTGTGTGGAAAACCTGCTTTTTGTTTAATTACATTCCAGCAGGCTCACGCTGAAGCTTCAAGTCCTTCTGAAGAGCAGGAATTCAGGCCGCGGGGAAGGAGCCTTGAAAGCAGAAACACGTACAGCCCACTTTTACTATGCATATTAATAAATATTCTTTATTTAAATTTTGCACATTGCGCTTTTACATATTACATCCAAAACATTTTGCAAATGGATGTCTAATTTGTAAAATCTTATATTCAGCTCATTGTCATTCTGTACAGAATTATAGGTACAACATTACTTTGCCACTAGTTTGCTTTTTTTTGTAAGTCTCACAGTAAGAGAAACATTTAATGAAAAGAGATGGCTTAAATTATAAGAGAGGCTTGCACAGCTACTCAACTAAAGATACAAGCCTGAAGAAAGAACAAAATCAATGAAATCACCTCCACCAGCCTCCCCAAAAAACCAAGAGGAAAAAAAAAAAAAAAAAAGAGAAGAATCACATTAATTTAAGATAAAATTTTGCCATAAGTCACTAAATTAAGTTTTTGAAAGAGAAGGCGCAGTAGTCATCTTGAGAATTTCAGTGAAAGACAGAGCTATGTTATTGGATTTAGTTCGCTCCAGCCGTTGTCAACCAACCGTTACAAATGGGCCCCTTGTGATCATTTAAGCGGCAGTATTTATTAAATTTCTCCTTCAGATGCTGTCGGTATTGTTCTCTATTGCTGTAAAAAGACTTGTTGTTTGCCATAAAGGACTGTATTTCATCTTGTGAGATAAAGATTTCCTCATCAGAAGTGCATTCAGACTCATCCTGCAAAGGAAAACAGGTATTTAGGAACTGGAACGTTGCCCCTCCTGCATGTACATCCCTCCTGCCATCCAAGGCCACCTCTATGTCCCCAAAAAATGATAGATCCTTCCTGTCAGCGTGCCACCAGGCTCAGTTGGGTCACCCTGCACCTGAGCCACAGCACTCGCCTTTTTGGGGCTAAGAGGCAGCCTGAAATCCCCCCAGAATAAACTTCAGAGTCTTAGCGCATTTCCATTGAAAGAGGAGGGCTTTTATTAGAGAAAATAAAGGAAAAGAAGAAAAAAAGGATGTAAAGGGAGGAGGAGGAGGAGGGAAAGGAAAGGGAGAGAGAATAAAGTTGCCCCAGGAGCTTGTAGTGGGAAGTAATATTTGAGGCATGAAGGCAGCAATAATGCACGCTTCATTTTATGGAATAATACACTCCTTGACAATGAACACTCATAATACGAGTTCTGTCACTTGCATTCCAGGGACAGGGAATTCCTCCTCCTCTGCAACGTGTCCGAGTTACAGACTGCACAGAGAACTCACAAAAGCAAACACACCACACACTGGGAGGGGAAGCTCTGAATTTTAGGTTCAGTTCCACTCTCTCTTGTAACATTTCTTCACTGGGATTCGAGTTCTAAACCCCATCCTCATCCCCAAGGATTTAAAGCCGCGTGCTACAACCTAGAATTCAAAGTAAGCTGTTACTTACAAGGAGTTCCACTAAGCTCTTGGCACCTTTTCCACTATCAGGAACAAGTGACATTTCTGTAGGTTCTGCAAACTGTGACACGTTTTTCATATGCTCAAACCAAGGCAACTGCTGCCCACTTTTTTCTGAGCTACAGCAGCTTTCGGCGTGTGTGTCTTTGGTCTTGTCGCGATGAAACTCTG